CTTGATTTGCTAACTTGCAGTGTTTCATTAATATTCATTTGCTACTTATACATTTGTTTCCTAATGGTTCATATTTTTGCTTTGTCCTATGCCATCTCCCTCTAGTAGAAAAGAGGTTAGAGAGAACAAAGGTTTAGTGGGAAAATTTGGAAAAGAACCCTAAATTTAAGAAAATTCTATTAATTTGCTTAAATGGCTGTGTGTATGAAAGACTGGTATAATTTAGTTTTATTGGTAGAAAATCTAGCTCCGTTTACTGAGCAGCACTGTTTAATGGAAACGTTTCTTCTGAGCCGTTGGTTTAGAACACCTGGGCTGTCTGTGGAACTCTCTTATCACCTGCAATTATCTAATCCTAGGAGCACTAATGAGGTGTAGCTCACTTTCTTCTAGGGTGACTTAGATGAGTAGCTTGACTCTGCCATTTGATTTTATTGCAACTCTAATCTGTTTTCTCCTCTTAATCAAGTGTTAAATAAGGCAACGTAGAATAATAGAGACTACTCTAGACATTTTTTTTTTGGCATCATAGTGTCTTAGAGTTAGAAGGAGCCTTCGTGTGATCTACTCTAATATTCTACTGAGGACAAGAACTCCATTATGTGTAGATTGACCATTTATCAAACTGGAACATTTTTGAGAATGAACAGGGTAGGAAAAATGCTCAATTGGGTGGGGACTCTGAACAAAAGGTATAAAGTGAAAATGTCCTGGGAAAAATAGGTGTGGTCACCCTAGTTATACCAAAGCCTTGCCAGTTCATCATCCAGACTCTACTTGAAAATATTTGTTGTCTCATAAAAAGGCTAGTGCCATGGGTAGCTCTAATAATAAAAAAAGTTTTTTTATTAACCTAAAATTTATCTCACTGCAGCTACTAACTCATTCCCAGTTCTGCCCTCTGATACTAAGTATAGTCATAATATGGTAATACACAAAAAAATCAGCTCTTTAGATAGCTTTTTTACTTACAACTTTAATTTTTTTTTTTTTTTTAGCAAAATCTTACAGTTCTCTCCTGTAATTCCAACCTATGCCCAAATTAAAACAGAAGAGAAAAGAAATGGAAAGACAAATGAAAAAAAGGCCATACTGCTGGCCAACTCACCAGGCATTGATAGAGGGCACTGCTTGCCACATAACCCTTGATAGCACATCTATACATTCTCATCTTGGTACTTTTAGAAAACATTCAGCGAGGTCTCTAGCTTCTCAGAAGCAAAACTTCCAATTATTACATTAATATTTTATCACCTTCAGATAGAATAAAGGTCTATACTATTGGAGACATGCCAATAAAAGTGAAAGAAACACTATTTTATACACTGGAAGGCTGTACTTCCAGTTAGAGTTAATCATAATGCTTACAGTTTTCTTTTTTTTTTTTTTTCAGTCAGAGTCTCACTCTTTTGCCCGGGCTAGAGTGAGTGCCGTGGCGTCAGCCTAGCTCACAGCAACCTCAAACTCCTGGGCTGAAGCGATCCTACTGTCTCAGCCTCCTGAGTAGCTAGGACTACAGGCATGCGCCACCATGCCCGGCTAATTTTTTCTATATATTTTTAGTTGTCCGATTAATTTCTTTCTATTTTTGGTAGAGACGGGGTCTCGCTCTTGCTCAGGCTGGTTTTGAACTCCTGAGCTCAAACAATCCGCCCGCCTCGGCCTCCCAGAGTGCTAGGATTACAGGCGTGAGCCACCGCGCCCGGCCTTCAGTTTTCTTATAATTAAAAACACTTTATGTATATCTATAAAACTAGCTACAGATAATTTTAAGTTAGCCCTCTTGGCATCTTTTTTCCTTTAGACAAAAAAATAGTGGTTCATTCAGCATGCAACTTTTCACCAGCCTACTTGCTATATTAAAGACATATTTTAGTTTTCATGTGCTATATTGCCCACATTTTTTCAGGAGGCTCATAAGGATGAAGAGCTGGCATGATAGTTTTTGAGGTGAAATGTGAGTAGGGCCACAGAGCCTAGTTCATCACTGTATATACAAGGAGGTCCCTTCTACCCTGCCCCTCCTTTTTTTTTTGTTATTTAGGTAATTGTTTTATTTTCTTTTTTTAATAATAATTGTTTCTTTTTTTTTTTCTTTATTGAACATAGAGACTAAGCGGATATTTAGATAATTGTTAAAAGAATGTAAAATAGAACCATTTGACAACATGGTTAAGGGAAATTATTCCCAAATGGCATTGTCTAATTTGATTTGAACTCTTGTAATGGAGATAGTTAAAAGGCAGTCAGCGTTGGTTTATTTATAGAAGCAATTTTATTGCTTACAAAATATCAAAATTGAAAGGTGGCATTTAAAGTAAATTGGAAGTTATATGCTACCGTAGGTAGAGTTTGTTGACTGAGTTATTGGGTTTTACTGTTGATGCATAGCAGCGTTCACTGTACATTATAATCTTGTAAAAGTAAAGCTGTACGTGTTACGTAGGGCTGTTGAAATAAATTGGTGTATGTTTTACAGGTTCCAAAGCTTTACTTCAGAGCTCATCTGTATGAGTGTCTGTAGTTATTCCTTTCACTGTAGTTTTTTAGTAAATTTTGACAAGTTTTAAAAATGGCTGGGTCATTCTAGGGACCACATTTATGTATTTGATGTGGTGTAAGGAGTGTTTCTTCTGAGGAACTGGAGGAGAGCTGTTTTGCTATAAAAGATTTTTTTCTTTAGTAAAGTTCATTGTATCTACATTTGCAGCTTTAATAGGAGATGTGAAAAAGTGGTTTTCTCTTTTTGACACCTTCACTATTAATTATTTAGTTGATGTTACCAAGTAAATATCTGTGCTTTACTTTTATTTGCCTTACTTTGCTCATCTAACATTTTTGCCCTTAAAATATGATCACTTAAAGATGATTAAATGAGGAATTCTCTTGGTACTATGTACTGGGAAAGCATGGGAGATGCATTGTAATACCAGGTGCAAATTGTTGCTAGACGAGAGGGTAGTCATTTAGGGCCTACTTGGAAATCTGCTGCAAGTAAATGTAAACCTCATAAAGTTTATAATCATAAAGTGCACTTTATTGTTTGGTCTTCAAATTCAATTTCTTTGAATTGTTTTGTGGAAAGAGTTGTGAGTTGTCTTAGTAATTTGAGAAATAGATTTTAGGTGTATTTATCACAGTTTTGTTAAGTTATAATAGGTATATTAATTCACAAAATGTTTTGCTAGTGTGATCACTTACCAAGACATATGCAAAGAGCAGTGTGGTAAATCGACCTCTTGTTTTACTTTGCATATATATTTTTTATTTTTTAGAGATAAGTGTATGACTACTTATTGAACTGATAGTACCACATGATTTCTTTTTTGAGTTCATGAAATAAAATATACTAAATAAAAGGAGAAGACTAGTATTTATTAATTGCATCTTGTGTGTTAGATGCTTTTCAAATATTATTTTACAACCCTATGAGGATTTTGACTGTATTCAGAACTTACAGGTGAACACTGAGAAGATAAGTGTATCAAAGTTCCTAAAAGGTGAAGCAAAAATTTACATGCTGTTCTTTCTAAACTCCAAAATTCCTGTTCATTTTGCTACATCGTATTAAAATTTGTATGTGTAGTAGCTTCATGACAAAATTTCTTTGGACAATTCTTTTTAATATTAAATTTCTTAAAGTAACAGGAATAAATTAAGGTATGAAAATTAAATGATATTAAAAACTGGTATTTCTTTTGAAACTGAGATTCTAGTTTTAAAAGTATATTAAAAATATTTTAATAAGGCCTTTTCCAAATATATTTAAGAATCAATATAGCACCTTCTTAATGAATCTTTTTTTTTTTTTTTTTTTGAGACAGATTCTCACTGTGTCACCTGGGCTAGAGTGCAGTGGTGTCATCATAGCTCACTGCAACCTCAAACTCCTGGGCTCAAGCGATCCTCCTGTCTCAGCTTCCCAAGTAGCTGGGACTAGGGGCGTGTGCCACCACACCTAGCTAATTTTTTTTTCTTTTTGTAGAGATGGGGTCTGACTCTTTTTAGGCTAGTCTCTAACTTCTGACCTCAAGCTGTCCTCCTGCCTCAGCCTCCCAAAATGCTAGGGTTACAGGCATGAGCCAGTGCACCAGCCGATGAATCACTTTTTATAGTATCGATGCCTTGGGCTCATATCGTTAGTTTGCCTGCGTATAGTTATTATCAATTCCTGAAGAATGACCATTTCAGAGGTTATCGTAAATGAAGTAAAAGGTCCGCAGCCACACACTGCTTGGGTTTAATTCCTGACTTTACCTTTCCTAGCTGTTGTAGTGTTTGGCAAGTTACTTTTTAGTCTCTTTAATTCCCGTTTTTTTTTTTTTTCCTTTTAATTGGGGATAATAACAATTTCTACTTCATAGGTTTGTTTGTTGTGAGGATTAAATGAGTTAAATGAGTAAAGATCTCAACATATTATTGTATTAGTACTTACTGAGCTCTCAATGAATTTGTTGTGATGAACATTTTCTAGAATTTTACATACGCATTGGCTCATATTGCATTATAAGTAATTTTTTTTTGTATTTGGGAAAACCTACTTAAGAATACTTCACATTTTTAGAATGCTTATACACTGTTATTCCATTTCATTAATTCCATTTCCATTTTCAATTATCCTAGATTCAAATGTAGTAGAGATGGTATTGTGCTATGTTATTAGGATTTTTGCTTTTCTTTGTGCTATGTACTGACTGCTACTTGGCAGACTCTTGATATCTACTATAGTATTACATAAATTTGAATCTATTTTGAACTGTAATTTTTTTCTTTATAAATTCTTAATCTGAACTTCATCTTTATTATAGAAAAACTATTAAAATTCTAAACATCTAAATGATTAGGTATTTAAATTTTTTTTTTCATTTTTAAAAATGCGATTTTACTTTGTGTTTGGCCAAGAAGTGATTCTTTGCCTGAAATGATCTTTTAAAATTAGCTTAAATTAAAAAAGATAAGTAGTATTACATTAAAGTTTTCTTTTTCTTTCATTCTCTTAGCTTCACAATGAAGAGGACAATTCAGAATCATCTGCTGTAGAGCAGCCATCTACTTCAAACTCATCACCACAGGTTGTGCAGACAGCTCCTTCAGCATCAGCACTTGAAACTGACTCTTCTCCTCCACCATACAGTAGTATTACTGTGGAAGTACCTGCAAGTTCAGGTATGAAACAGCTAGTAATGTTTTTAATAGTTCGTTTTTTTTTTCACAGTATGGTTTTATGTAATTATCAAGTCCGTTAATGGGCTTTTAAAAACACATGCACACATATATTCAAACACGTATATACGTACATACACACATGCATATATACAAATATATACATACATACATGTGTGCATGTGTACATGTATAGTACATACATATATGTGTGTGTATATATGTACATACTTATGTATTCATAAAACAGGGTGTTACTGATGAGTGCGAGTGGGAACGTGGTGAGTATGTGTGACTGGAGGCGAAGGGTATATGCATAGTGTTATCCCAAACATGTGGTAATGATTCTTGAATACAAAGTAGTAATTCCTGTTTGCTGCTGTTCATCTTATTCAAGTCATTCTAGAGAACTAATCTGTTTCTCTGGCCACAATTTTTATTCCCCTAGCAGTGCTAAATTAGTCATTATGATGACTTTTATATAATATTGTGATTTTGTATATTGATTTGTATGATTGTTTGATTTTATATGCTATTATAAATTCTCTGAGTAGTGTAATAACTTCTAAATAAGTTCTACATAACTTCTCTAAGTATTTTATAAACTCGTTATGAAACATTGGTTTGAAAAATCAGTTATTTAAAAACGTTTTAACAGAAAAAAACCTTCACTAGAATATTTCATGTTTCTTATTTCTTATTCTGAAATTAATGTCTTCTGCTTCTCTCAAACTCTTGCCAACTTTCTCTGGTTACCATTTTGCATTTGGAATATGTAAATAGACCCAATATTTCTTCCACCAAATTCATTTACTTTTTTTATTTACTGAAAATCATCTTCTTCTTGAAGGTATTCCCACTAATTAAATTAATAAATGCCTACTCCTTTTATTTGTATATGTTTATTTGATTGATTTAGTTGATTTACTTTGCTTTGGTGCCCAGTTTCACGCACAATTTTTATACTGATATCCATCAATGTTATTTGTCTTTGGCTATAAGATTTAACAGCTGGTTTTGTGCTTGTTCAAATATAGGCTAAATTTTCTTCCATATTTTACAAGTTTCCAGAATATAGTGTAATGAATTTGTTACCTTAGATTTTTAAAAAATCAATTTGGTAACTTTGAAGACAAAAATGAGTTGTTTTCCTGATGAGGTCTATGTGTGAGTAATGGAAGATGCTTATTTTCAGAGTGAAATTGTGCTCTTTGTTGTGGCTACCATTGCTATTGCTGTGTAACAAACGCCTTCCAATTTAATGAAGTAAAATAGCAATCATTTATTACTATTAAATCTTATGGTTCTGAGAGTAGAATGGGCTCAGCTATGCTGTTCTCTCCCCAAATCTCATGTGATTGTTGTCTGGTGGTGGCTGGGGCTGGAATCATCTCAAAGGCTTCCTTTTTCATGTGTTTTGTGGTTGATGCTGGCTTCAGCTAGAAACTGGCCAGTTGGCCACATAGCTAGCCCTCAGCTGGGGCTATTGGACAGAATACCTTTATGTGGCCTCTTGTGGCCTAGGCTTTTTCACTGAATGGTGACTGGCTTTTAAGTACAAGTGTTCTGAGGAAACGCTAGATGGAAACTGTTTCATCTGTCATAATACTGCCTCAAAATTCACATGATATCACTTCTACCATATTTAGTTTGTTAGAAGTGAGTCACTAAGTTTAGCCCTTATTCAAGAGGAGAGGAATTAGTCTCTACTTCTTGATAAGAAGAGTTTGAAAGAACTTGTAATCTAACTTTTAAAACTGCCACAACTGCATACTTCATCTTCCCCCTACCACCAAACCTTCTCCTTCTACAGTTTCTATAAATGGCTTCCATGGCTAGAAATCTTAAAGTCGTCTTTTTGGTACCTGATCATAAAACTATAGTAGTCCTCCCTTAACTGAGTTCCTAGACCCCCAGTGGGTGCCTGAAAACATGGATAATAACGAATCCTATATATATATTATGTTTTTTCCTATATACACATACCTATGATAAAGTTAAATTTATAAATTAGGCACAGTGAGAGATTAACAATAATAAAATAGAACAATTATAATAATATACTGTAATAAAAATTATGTGCATGTGGTTCCCCCTCTCAAAATATCTTCTTATATTATGCTCACCCTTCTTTTTGTGATGATATGAGATGATAAACCTACATGATGAGATGAAGTGAGGTGAATGACATAGGCAATGTGACATAGCCTTAGGCTACTACTGATCTTCTGACAATACATCAGAAGGAGGATCATCTACTTCAGGTGATCCCGGATCATCTAGCCACAAAAATGTTGATGGTCCAATCACAGGTACAGATGATGATGTCGATGGTTGTGGATCCTTGATAGTTGAAAGTTTTTTTTGCTCAAATTTTTGGGAAGAACATTGTAATTTGAAGTTGTCTCTTTCTTTTTAACTTATCAAAGTATTGCTGAAGAGCTTGTAATGCTTTGGTGATCATATGGGTGACTTTAATATGGTGTTCCATCCCAGGATCACATTCCATAATTTTGTCCTTTAATGTCCGTGCAGCTCAAAACACTTTGGCAAATTTTAGTAACGGCCATGTTGCTGATTCTGCTTCAGTTTCTTCTTCACCTCCTCTTACTTTGCAGATGACTCAACAAGTTCTTCCAATTTCTTGTTGGTTATCACTTGTCAAGAGCCTTCAATATGTTCTTTAACTTCTTCATAAAGCATGTTGGTAAATCCTCCACCAACATGTCTTGCTGTGTGAATGATTTTCCTAACTTTTCCATAGATCTCTAGGAAAGCCTTTAAAATCACTTACAACTTCATTCCATAAGTTCCTCAAGTAGGCATTTATAGTTTCTGGTTTTAATTCATTCATTGCAGCTTTGATGAATATTATTGCTTCAGCAGTAGTGAATGATTTCCAGCACTGCATTATGTCCAGGTTAAGGTCTGTATCAATTGCTGTTTGAATGTGATCAAATACCAGGTGGGTATTTGTGTTCTTGACAAATTGAATGATGCCTGGGGCAAGAGGCTGAAGCAGTGTGGTTGTATTTGGAGTTAAAAATACAACCTCAACATTTTCACTTTCGTAGCAAACAGATTCAGGATGGCCAGGTGCGTTGTCTATTATTAACAGGATTTAAATTTCAACCCTTCTTCTTCCAAGTATTTTTTCACTTCTGGGATGAATCATTGGTGGAACCATTCCATAAACAAGATGGTTGTCACCCACACTTTCTGATTATGTTGCCAGAACATGGGAAGATAATTTTTGATTTTGTTTTTGAAAGTGCGTAGGTTCTTCACTCTGTACACCATGCCTGGCTTTATTATATGCCCTACAGTGTTGCCACATAGTACCAGAGTTAATCTGTCCTTCCATGTTTTATGCCCTGATGCCTCCTTTGCACTTTAATGAATCGAGGTTCTGTTGGGCATCTTCACCCAGAAGAATCCAGTTTCATCACAATTGAAGCCTTCTTTGGATGGTATCCTTTCTCCTTAAGCAACTTCTTCAACTCTGCCAGAAATTTGGCAACAGATTCTTCATCGGCAGGTGCAGCCTCTTTAGTGATTTTTATATTTTTCATTCCAAACCTAATCCTGAATCTGTATAACCATCATTTACTTGCAGTAAATAGCTTGTTGTCACTTGTTTCAGAGGATCCCTTGCTGAAGTCTTAACATGGGCTCAGTGCTTTCCAGTGCAAAATGTTGCTATCAGTTGGAACAAGTTTCTGTTCTATATTCCACCCACAAATCTAATGCCCTTTTCGTCTTTACTAAACACTTATCATGCACTGTGGCCATAACTTTTGCAATTGGAGGTGCAAGAGCAACGCTGGCAAAAACTTCTTTTTCCTTCTTCACAATTTCACAGGTAGATTTGTTCTTACCATAAATCTTAGCAATCTCAGCCTACAATTTTTTCCCCCTTATTGGGAATTTTTACCTTTTCACTTGAAGTACTTCGTGGCTTCTCTTTGATATATCTGAATTGCCAGCATCACTACTTTTGCATTTCGGGGCCATTAATAAGCAAAAGTAATGTAAGAGTGAGCTTCATTTTACAGAGGAGAAAAAAAATCATGGAAAATTAAATAAGTTACTCATGATCACATAGCTTCTAAGTGGTAAAGTCAGAAGTTGAACCCAGATACATCTGATTCTAAAGTTTGCAGTTACTGTTTGTAGTTGCAGAGTCCTATGATTTTGGCTATTAGAAGGTCATTGGGGACCTTTGTCATAATGTTTTCTTTGGAGTGTTACCAACAGAAGCTAGGGTCTAATGGGTTAAAAAGAGCACAGACAGTGAGGAAGAGAGGACCTCAAGTGATTTCAATAACTAACAAATGGAAACATCACAAATGCTCAAAATAGGGGAATCATTAAATACATTTTTAAATGACAGTATGCTTAAGTATTGTGTAGCCATTAAAATAAGTTTTTTTGAAGAATGCTTGCTGATACCAAATTAAATACTTTGAAAATAGCAAATTTAAAAAGTAGAATATCAAATGACGTATATGATGTGATACCCATTATTAACACATTAACTGTCATGTGAGTTGTATTTAACTCATGCTAGTTTTGAGCCTGGGGCCTCGTGAAGCATATGTAACTCACATATCTATTCATTTTGGGAGCTGCGAGAACTATTTTTCAAGTTGCATATAACTCATGCACAGAAAACAATAAAAAATAACAAATTTTCATTAAATTAGAAAGGATCATTTTGTTTTAGAAGTTTTTATTCTATTTTTGTAATAAAATACTGTGGCCCCAAGGAAAAAAAAATTTTTCTAGCACTGTAGTCAATGTATTAAAAAAAAAAAATGCATGAACATTTCCATGTAAAGGATATTTCAAGATATGTTAAAAATAATAACTTACTCTGGATGGTGTAATATTGGGTTGTTTTCATTTACTTTAAACAAGTACAGTCACTGCTCCATAACATTTGAGTCAATGATGGACTACTTATATGATAGTGGTCCCATAAGGTTATAATGGAGCTAAAA